CTCAATATGCGCGCGACCTCCTAGTGTCTCGTTGCCCGAAGTAGACAAAAACACTCGTGGGAGTCGTAGACGTTTATTGGCGAATCGTGGTACTAGATAGTACCGAAACGTGCCAAGGTGACGCTAAACAAAGCAAGCAACAAATGCAATAGCAGAGCGAAAGAGTGTCACACGTGTGTCTGGGTTTGAACAGGACCCAGCTTATATATGCGCCTGAGCGGAAAAACTTGCTCGGTAAAACAAATAGAAGTGAAACAAAGAAAATATCACAGTTCAAGTCAGAGTTGATTATGAAGAATATATGAACGCAAAACGTCCTCGTGGATTGCTCTTTTTCTTCGTATAATCATGGTCACTACATGTTACACCTACGTTTCATCATAGAGTGTATTCAGACTGCTTCTCATTCCCGGCTACCTTTCCAGAGATCTGCTGCTACCATGGTAACAGCAAGTTCCCTCGGATAGAGCTGATATGCAACTGAGAAGAAGACCGAAGTATGTCCTCGAGATTCAAGACGGGATCCTATGGTGTCTGTTGCATCCGCTTGAGCTCGTAATTTGAATACGCTTATTAACTTACACCAACACCGTGATCTAAGACAAACGAGCTTGAACTTTGCAATAATGATCACTCCTCAGCTGGAATAAAAAAATTCTCACGCGGTATAAACGATCAACGCTGGAATGGAACGAAAATATTCCAGGCGATAACAAAGAGCGATTCCAAAGAAACGAAACCCGTGAGAGCGTGAAATGAAAACACGGATAGAGACGATAGACCGAGACGGTTAATACAGTATCTACAATTCATTATAATAATTTTCATAAGACGGGAAAAAACATACTTGGATGCACGCTCACCCAAGCAGAACGCTGAAAACAATCGAACAAAATGAACACCAAGGTCAACCGGGCTGACCAAGAAATATGACGTTCAAATGTTATGCTGGAACGTTTAAACAAACAGAAAGTTGCAGACAGCAAAGAGCGGAAATGACAAGAAACAAACAGTAATGAAGATGAAGAATAAAAAATGTTTCTTTTTACCTACGTTGCATTAGCTGCCGTAACCGCGTCTCTCGTCGGCTGGACGGTTTAGTTGATCACACTTACACGTTAGCCTGCAGCCTTACTGTTGTGTAATAACTGCTGCTGAGACTGCTATCACACCACCAACTTCCGAGCCGAAGAAGATAACACAATTAAAATGGCACAGGATAGTATATTAGAGAAAAATGTCTTCCTTTTTGTGTCGTCCTTACGCGTTAGCATGCGTTCTTTTTTATTGCGTCCGGTGCGTTCTAAACGTTCGATATCAAATGACCACTCAGAGTCGTCCAACCGCCCGGTTGATTAAGCTGTCTGCCCAATCAGAAAAGTCATACCGTCCGTGGTGAAATACAGTGATCGATCATTTCGGGCCGGAGGCTCACCCAGCTGCGGCTTTTTTCGTTTGGCTATTCTCGCCAAACATATGACTTTTTCGACCGGAATTATTTTAATTTAACCTTCCTGACACCTACACACCGTCAGCCCGGCACCGATAGTTCGATCGATGATAGAAAATATGGAGGAGACTGAAATCGGTTCTCATCGTCTGGACCTTATCACTCTCACTCAAACAATGCTCACTTCGTAGTTTACTATCTGCATGTCTCTCGATATAAGCCGAGAAATATAACATTATTTATATTATTATTATTATTTTTATTATTATTATTCGAGACGTGAATCCTCTAGTCCATATTTCGGAACCTCTTTGGATTTCTACTGATTTTTCTGTTAGTCCGAAGTTGTGCTTCCATCCGCTTTTAGTTGTCCACACTAGACCACGTTGACGATGGCTGCCAGTCTTCAGTTCAACTTATGAGGTTATACAAACCCTTCTTTATTACCTGGACCGAGGGCGAAACCACCAGTTACTTGTGATATGCAAACATAGGCACGGGCTATCGAGCGTCGTCCTTAGGTCTTTTAAATGCAGAAGAAACGTAGAGGGACCAAAAGTGAACCCAATCGGGCTCCACTTGTTACGCGGCCAACCTTGGATTTGGAACCTTTGTAACGCTAGGCACGTTGAGCACATCAATGCCCTTTCGAATTGAGTGTGATTCTTGTGTAAGTCTCACTGGACCTTCTAGTTTATGATTGTTTTGTACTTTCTCTGTCTTGCAGATCGGTTTGAAATTCCCCCTTCTACAAAGAATCTGTTGTCCGAAGCGTCTCCTGCAGTGACACGAACTACATCCAATTCTACATGTACACTTCCTCCCTTGAATCTCATTGTTTTACCGCATCAAGGCCATCTTTTTTGTTCAGCGCGTGGATGCTTTCACTTCCCCCACGCTTACGCGCTTCCGCGTCTCTTTTTTTGGCTCTGAAGCTTTACAGAATGCAACCGTTGTCTGTTTCCGTGAACTGCTTCGTTCTGTGTTGGTACGAACGCTCGTTTGCGATACAGACGTATTATACAGGGTACCGATAAGTCAGTGCCTGCAATTTCACCCGTGCTGTAGGCGCTTTTGTACTCGACCGACTTTGCGATACGGTACGACTCCCCAAAGAGGGTTTTCTTTGCAGAATTCTGACAAGGTTATCGGCACCAGAAACTTGGATAGTGTTATCCGAAATCAATCCCCTGCCGTGTACAAGGGATCTTTAATAACTAACCGGTTACTGATGTTCGTCAGAACCTGTCACCGATGTTTGCTCGCGTTTGTTCTGGATATCCATCCAGAGAAGAAACAGAACCAAGAATTGGGATTGTGGAAATGATATCTTCTGAAACTTCCGAAATGTTGAAAGTAAGTTCGGCTAGCCCTATGCTGTTGTTTAAGCAACGGCAGAGGAAACCTGAGAGTAGATCTGATCAATGCAAGGAAAGCGTGCGATACACAGCTCACCGGGGGGAATTGTGTCGGTGCGGTCTTTTCGAGCTCATTAAAAGCATGATAATAGTTAAAGCAAAACTTAATTCTTGAAGTGTCCAAGTTGCTATATCTAATGAAGAAACTTCCTCTAGAAGATTGATATCGCCAAATAAAGGCGATAGGTGCTAAATATCGACGACACACTTGATTGTGCCCGGTAGAGAAAAAGGGTCCTTATGTTAGAAGGAAAAGAATACCGGTTATCTACATTCGGTAATTAATCTACCTGATCGATAGGCTAGGTCAATACTTAATACATGAACTTTGATAGCTCTGATAAGTCTGCCATAGTTATGTAACCATGTCCTGATAGTCCTTAATTATACAGGACAGATGGGAAGTTGAACCTGTTCCGATGCTAGTCACCAGCGTGAAGGTGCTACTGGTCCGTGATTAGATGATCCCGTCCAGCTTGAATGCATCTACCAGAACACCTAGAGAAAAGCAAGCGGCAAGGTAACAAAAGTGCCATTCTTTTTGTAACATTTATTGATCAATATATCCTCGGAATCTATAAAATTTACGATGGGTATAACAGAAGTTGTTTCAAGGTAGTGTAAACAGATAAACTCAGCCAACAACAGTTGAAAAATAGGAGTAGTGAACATGTGCGCACAAACAATGGCAATAACGGATACTGAAAGTCAACGTGATCCGTGGCATAGGACAACCCATTTACATGTAGCTAGCAACCTCCGACTGTTATTTTCGCTCGGTATTCCAAATTATCTTTAGATTAAAAGTCATTCCGGTAAG